CCCCCCCCCCGATCTCCTTCCTCCTTCTGACATTTCCTCTTCCTGGATCCTCTGATTCCCTTTTCAGATCTCTGGGATCTTCTGCTCGCTTTCTGGATCCCTCTGAGCAGTTCTTCTTTCTTCCTTTTTTCCTCCTAAGATCCTAAGAGATATTCTGATCCCTTGAACTGATGGTTTTAACTTAAGAAATGATTATAAGCGTGTCTACATAATATAGAATTTATGGTTTTAGGAAAGGACCACAAGTGTGTCTGCACTATACATTTATACCGGTTTGATACCGCTTTAACACTCATGGTCCCATGCTATATAATCCTGAGATTTGTAGTTTGGAAAGAGTCTTCGGCATTTCCTCTGGCAGAGAGTTCTAGTTGCTTCCTGGGAGGCAACTAGAACTCTCCAGCAGAGGATTCCAAGTGTACCTCGCCCAAACTACAGATCCCAGGATTCCGTTAAAGTGGAGCCATGGTCGTTGAAGTGGTATCAAACTGCATTAATTCTGCAGTGTGGCAGCAGCCCCAAAGGGCCTTTCGTCCTAAAGGAAAGATGGAGAATTCAGGGCCCTTTTTAGGGGTTGTCAGACACTAGGTCCCATCATCCCCAGGCCTCCTGAGATGATGGGACTTGTAGTGTGGAGGGCTATGTATTCCCTTGCCCCTGTTTCCTTTTTCAAAAAGGGTCCTGTACACGGTTTATTCAGAAATAATTTCACTTCTAGGACTCTATGGCTGCATCCGCACCAGAGAAATAATCCGGTTTGACACCACTTTGAATTGCCACGGCTCCACGCTATGGAATTCTGGGAAGTGTAGTTTGTTGCAGCGCTGCCGCAACAAACTACACTTCCCAGAATTCCATAGCGTGGAGCCGTGGCAGTTCAAAGTGGTGTCAAACTGGATTATATTTTGCTTATATTGTAACCTACCTTTGGATTCCGTACCGGTAGTAAATTGGGATATAAATCTAATTACTGTAATTGAACTGGCTCTCTGAACTACAACTCCCAGAGTTCTTTTCGAGGTCGCAGACAGATCCACTTTCCTCTGTTCAGCCTCCAAAATGGCTCTTTTGACGCACTGCCCAGCTGCTTCTTGCCAAATATTACGAAATTTTATTTTATTCTTGGCATCCGTCATGACTAGTGCTTCAGAACTGCTATGGCTCCATTCTGTCTTCTCTTGGGATTTGTAGTTTGGCGAGAGAGTTACAGCCTTCTCTGGCTGCATCCGCACTGAGGAATTAAAGCAGTTTGACTCTGTTTTTAACTGCCATGGCTCCTCCATTCTATGTTACCTTGGGATTTGTAGTTTGGTGAGAGATTTAGCCTTCTCTGGCTTCATCCGCACTGAAGAATTAAAGCAGTTCGACACAGCTTTATGGCTCTGTCCTGTGGAATCCTGGGATTTGTAGTTTGTGGTGGCCCTGGAGCTCTCTGACGGAGAAGGCTAAGAATCTCACAGGACTACAAATCCCAGAATCCCAGCATGGAGCCATGGCAGTCAAAGCGGTGTCAGAACTGGATTGATTCTGCAGTGCAGATGCAGCCTCTGTCTTTTAATTCATCCACATGGAACTGGAATATACATTTTCCCTGTTGCCTCTCCATATTTTCGTCCGGTATTTTATAGAGCCAGCGTGGCGTAGCAGTTTGAGCATTGGACTACAACTTTGGAGGCCAGGGATCGAATCCCGGCTCGGCCACGAAACCCACTGGACAAGTCACACTCTCTCAGCCTCAGGGGAAGGCAAAGGCAAACCTCTGAACCAGTCTTGCAAAACAAGAACAGCCATGCTAGGGTTACATTTAGGGTCACCATAAGTCAGAAACAACTTGAAGGCATGCAACAATTTTGGATAGATTTTGGATTGTATTTTAACATTGTATAGAGTTTTAATGCTGTTTGACAGAAAGGTGTGATATAAATAAAATTTATCATTATTATTATTATTATTATTAACAATGACAAAATGATTCTATATGTGACGCACAGCAACGGCAAGGCTGCTAGACCAAGGTTCGATTCCCAGCTCAGCTCTGAGACCGACTGGACGACCTTGGGCAAGTCACACTCTCTCAGCCTCAGGGGAAGGCAATGACAAACCTCCTCTGGACAAATCTTGCCAAGAAAACCCCAGGATTGGTTCGCCTTAGGGTTGCCATGAGTCAGAAATGTCTTGGAGGCACCCAACAGCAAAACTCAAATAATAATAATAATAATAATAATAATAATAATAATAATAATAATAATAATAAAAAATAAATAATTTATACCCCGCTTAAATGAAAACAGTCTAAGCGGCTTACATCAGTTAAAACCCCATACAACAAAATTCATACACCCAACCCACAAACAAAAAGCAACTCTTTACTGTTACTATTTTAAAAAGTTAACCCAGTGTTTTTAAAGTAAAAATTTAAAATAACTCCCCAGTGTGTTTGTTG